CAAATAAACCTTTATGCGTCGAATTTTCTTTTGAATTATTTTATTATTTAATGAAATTTTAAGTTTTCCACAAGGATGAAGCATTGTATATAGTGTTTTTTCGATCTTGTCAGTTTTTTAAAATATAATAACATTCATACAAACTAGCAGTAAGCAACCCGTAATACGGGTTAGTAGTAGATAAATCATTACTAACAATTTGATATTTATTTACTTTCTCTAATAAAATATAAATTTATTTATACAGTAAGCAACCCGTAATACGGGTAAGTAGTATATAAAAAATTACAAACAATTTGATCTTTATTTACTTTCTCTAATGAAATATAAATTTATTATTACATTTTTTTAGTTGAACTCACTTTTATTTTTCTTGGCTTCTTAGTTTAAGAGAACTTTTAGCTTCATTAAAGATAAAGTTAACCATTTCTTTTGCAATGTTTAGACATTGAATGCGCAAATCACAACCATGTAGTAATTAAAAATGACTTGAATTATATGCACAGAACATCGATGTCAATTTTTCAAATTCCGTAAAATTGTTTAGGTAAATATTGGGAATATATTCTAGTCTCGATTTTGCTTTAAGATGAGTCGTTTCTTTGTTTTTGAAACTTTTCATCTAACTGAGTGAAGAGCTTAAAAATATGTCACTATCGCACCTAAACTTTTCAATATTATTAATATACTTTTTAAATATTTTTAAAACATCTAAACTATTACACCCAAACTTGTAGGCATAGAAGTTGGATATCTGGAAAAACTATAAGTAAAAAAATATATTGCAATTCTGAAAAGGGCTTAGCCCTGCATACGGATCCTATATTATTATGATAAAGATTATTATTAAACCAACCTTTTTTTAATTAGTAATCCAGCAGACACTTGTTTATAAAAAAACAATAAAGGAATATATGGATTTAATTTAATAGCTAACGTGTATCAACATATTTATTTCAGCATACATCCAATCCATATTTATACTAATTTTATAAAATATCCGGAATACATTTTGCCTTAACTTGGCGTTAAATTATTAGTTTTATTTCATTAATTTTTGTATAGATCAGGTTAATAATAAAAGCAATTGGATTTAACTCAATATTGTTGAAGTAATTATTCAGCTTTAATAAAATTGATAAAATCATATAAGACAGTTAAAAAATATATTTAAACCTTTGTTCACTTTTTGAAAATCCGTAAAAAAGCAAGTATCAAGTTTACATATCTTTAAAAGAAATTTATTTACATGATATATAGTTAAATATGTAACAAAAATATTTTAAAACAGAAACATATATAAAACACATTTCTTAAAAAAACAAAGTTGAAGCCACCATTTACAGCACCGAGGAGCCAAGCATAGCCTATTGTAAAAAAAACCGTATTAAATATTTTAAAATATTTATTACCGATAGGGACAACAATTAAACATATTTAAAAAGCTACGTGATTCCATATTAGTAGGATTGTTATAGAAAAGTATATTAAAAAAGTATATTTAAAAAAAAGTGTAATAAATAGAAAACAGATTTTTAAAAACTACCTAATTTTGTAAGCATTTTGCCAATAGTGTTCAATTTTGAAACCAATATCTTTAATGGAAAGCCGACTTGTTTAACTAATCTCATTCAAAGAATAAAATTATTAACACTTAAAGATAAAGGAAAAAAAAATGAATTAGATATAAACAATCGTACTATAGTATTATATAGATAAGTAGATATATATGAAAAAAAAAACAACAACTGGAAAACAGTATACCTGCTTCTGGTAACCTATTGTGATACTTCAGCAGTTGCTGTAGGGATGCAGCTGTTTTTTTTGGTGTTGTTCAAAAACGTAATTTTTATGTTAGCCTTTAGTAAACTTTAGTTTAATTTAAAAGACATTACAACGGATTTAAAATACTCATAATAAAAAAAGCAAAACATAAAATGCTTCAAGGAGACAAACTATAAACATAAAAGATGAAGAATGGAATCAAGATAAATAAATTGTATTTATATAGCTAAATATATTGCCTTGGGTTTTGGTAAATTTTAAAAGCAGTGAGTTCAATAAATGAAACATACCAAATAATTGTTTTTAACAAAAGAATGCAGCATCATTATACTATGATAGTTGGATAATGAATCAATTCAACTTTCGACTTTAGATTTTAGGGGGGGTATTTAAGAGGACTTTAAATTTGTAGTCAGGTTTAATTGGTGAGAAAACAATTTAAGTTTTTATTAAAAAAGATCAAAACAAATAAAAATATACAACGTAATATATATTAAAAAAAAAATTAAAAAATTAAAAAAAAAAACACCGAATTAAAAAAAAAAAAAACCTGAAGAAAAAGCAGCAACTAAAAAGTCATAAATATCTCTACTGATAGAAGACATTTACAACCTTTTGGTTGCTGTTTTTTCTTCGGTGTCTTTCAACACCCCGGTATGGATGAGCCCTCCATTTAAGGTGGTATCCAGCCATTATTTTGGTGAAAAAAAAAAAAAAAAAAATGAAAATTTTGAAAAAATGTTATTCATACAATTGAACATTGTAGAATTCAATAGAAAAAATATTTTTTCAAAAATAATGTTAGAATATCAAGAATATTCTTCTCAAACACATCAAGGTATTTTTATATCACATAGCAACGGCCATAGCAACCGTTTTAGCCTATAAGTTAGTCTCTGAAAATTAGACATACCAAGCCTGTAACTATTCTTTTTTTGATGTTATAAGTTTATATTAGTCTAAATGTCATAAATCTAAGTTACATTGCTATTTTTAACGGTTTTTTAAAACTATCTGACGGAAAAGGTATATCTGGTAAAGGTCGTCTCACGGATGAAGTAATTAACATTTTGCAAAATTATGTTGGAATGGCTATTCGACAAAATTCTAATAGTCATTTGGAAATGAGGAACTCTGTAATAACTTCACTTCATCATTGCACTAATTTTACCTCTCAAGAATATCGTCATATGTTTTGCACCAAGCGTGAAAAAAGCTGGTGTAAATGGCAGTCTGATAGAGCAACTGGTCATGTTACATACAAGAAAAAGTTGAACTTACCCGTTGCCATTATGGAAAAGATCAAGCCAGTATTTCAAGATCTAGCAAATACTGATATGCTTGCAAAATGTTTGCATGGCATGAGTCAAAATGTAAATGAAGCGTTTAATCAACTAATTTGGAACCGATCCCCTAAAACTATATTCACCTCTAAAGTTGTTGTTGAAATGGCTGTTTACTCTGCAACCATTACTTATAATGATGGTTTTGCTATGATATCTTCTGTATTTGATGCTCTTAATATTAAATCTGGTAGTTACTTTGAAATTAGTGCAAGTAAAAAAAACTCTATACGGCTAAAAAATATGAACAATAAAATGTCAGATGAAACAAAAAAAAATAGAAAAAAATTAAGATCTGTTAGAAAAAACTATTTTAATCAAAAATTAGATAAAGAAACTGCAAAATATTATTGTGCTGGTGGTTTTTAATGATTTATCTGAGTAGTATACATGATTTATAATTTTAAAATTGATTTTTCTCAATTTTTGTTTTTTGTACGGGTAGCTGTAGCAAAACAATGATATCTCAATAAAAAAAATTATTTTAGCTTCAAATTTTCAGGATATGTTCATTATTGATGTTTTTAGTGCCTGAACCTGAAAAAACATTTTAAAAAATTAAGCTTAACTTACATTTACCATATCTAATTAGTGTTTTATCGCTAAAAAATAGTTTTTTATATCATTAAGTCTGCCATTTTTGATTGTTTAAATTTTTTTCAAAAATTTTTGGTTCAGGCATTAGCTACACTAGTGTACTAGCTTTTTGCAAAATTTAAACCTTTAATATTGATTTATTCTGAAGATATTTATGTTCTTGTGACCTTAACATTTTCACCTTTTTTTGCTGAGTCAGCAATTATTTTTTATTAATTAAAAAAAAAAATTGCATTACGTTTTAGATTTTTATCTATTATGCTAGTAATTCATCATAGGTATTTACTATGTGTAAAATATAAAAAAATAGAACTAATGGCTGGATACCACCTTAAGGTGGTATCCAGGAGTGCTCTCAGGAGTCCATAGGAGTGCTCTTCCATTCCGCCATGATCTTTCCATATTTTGAAGGACCTCTCTGAGAGAGGTCCCGGGTGTTGGGAGCGGTAATTTTTGTATTCTTCGAATGATAAGGAATCTAAAGTTACAATTAGAAGAATATAATAAAAATTATACATTTGCAATTATTAAAAAGAAAAATTAGCATAACCTCACCATTTTCATTCGAAACAGATACTAAAAAAAAAAAAAGGGCAAATTAATAAGGGTTAAACATGCAACATTTTGTATTTTAATAAAAATATAGGGCAATAATGCAACCAATTCAAAAGTGTCATATTTATTAATTAATTTTTCTAACTATTGCACATATTTCTCTATACAAAACATATAAAATATAAAACACAGCCCTACCAGCTATACCTCCACCAGACACTAAAGACAAATATATACTTAAATAAATATAAAATAATCGATAAAATAATGTTAACATATAAATATATACATATCTAAATAATTGTTTTACCCATCCCCCTCATTTCATCCATAAAGTTGTCTAAAGTAAGAAAAAAATAACTAAAGCTAAAAACAAAACTATAAACTAAACCAAAACTATAAACTAAAGTAAACTTTATATTTTCTGAATGTTAATGCTTTATTTATTAAACTAATCATAATTTATACTTAGTTTTTGTTCCAACTTCCAAAAAAAGAAAGTATAAAATAAAGCTAAAGAACTTGATTTTTAAAAATTCCAGTGACAGTACAAATAAACAAATTCCTAATAACAAATACCTAATAGCAAAAACACTGACTTATTTCCTTCTTTACTTCTGTATTGAAACAATAAAAGCACTTTAATGTTTAGATGTTAAAATATCGATAAAATACATATTAAATGCCACATTCAACTAATGTAATTAATACCTTTATTAGATCTCTCTTGATTAACTAAAGAATTTAAATTTGAAATAAACTCTAACTAAATTTTAACAAACAAACAACCAAAATAAATCTTCATATTAATAGTACGTTATTAAGTTGATTAATAGATCAAACAATTTAATCTACTCTAATAATCTACTACCTTATTAATAAACTTTAATTTTTTTTCTACGACTCAGTGTAACTATAATATAGATATTTTTAAAGTAAAAAAGAATTTAATATTATAATACATAGATTTTAAAAATCTGAAATTTTAAATCTACCTCGAAGAAAACAGATATATATTGAAAAGTATTTTTATTTCTTTTTAAAAATTTAAAAATGCTTTATAACTTACTTGTTTCAATATTATTACCAACGTCTAAATAGAAAAACAAAGATATATGATTTATATATATAATTTTAAAATATATATGATTTTAAAAACCTGAAACTTTAAATCTACCTCAAAGAAAACAGATATATATTGAAAAGTATTTTTATTTCTTTTTAAAAATTTAAAAATGCTTTTTAACTTACTTGCTTCAATATTGTCATCATCTAAATAGGAAAAAAAAAACATTTAAGTCGACTCATTCTTAAATCTAGTTCAATTTCTTTAATAATAAAAAATTTAATCTTTGAGGATTAAATTCATTTACAAAAATTCGTTTAAGTTCGTTTAAACCATTTTAATTTTGTAAGTTAATTTAATGTTTTAAATAACTGAAACTTTAATTCTACCTCAAAGAAAACAGATATATATTGAAAAGTATTTTTATTTCTTTTTAAAAATTTAAAAATGCTTTTAAACTTACTCCCTCCAATATAATTATATAATATATATAGTGTATATGATAAATAAACCTCCACAATTTCCTTGGTTTAACAACTCGATTATGATTAATAACAACTTTGTAAACATGAATTTTCTAATAACCAAAATACAGATAGACAAACATAAATAACACAATTAAATCCTAAACCAAAATTCATTCATCCAAGACAAATTATTTTATATTTATTGAAGAGTCAGAAACATATTTTTTTTTCAAATAGCAAAAGTATTAACAATATTAAAGATAAATTTTGTTTATAACAAAATTTTCAATAAAAATTAAATTAAGATAAATTTATAACAAAATGTTGTCATGGCTTTTATCCCAATAACCAAAACTAAGTGAAAGCATGAAACTACCTATAAATATATTTTAACGCTAGACACAATTTAAGAATTAAAGTAATCTATAACACGAAGCTTTAAATTTAAAATAACAATTTAAAAAAGATTACAATAAATTAATCACTTTTAAATTTAAAAAAAATTTTAGATTACCTATAATTTTAAGCTACTAAACATTATCTACTTAATGTCAACATAGACATTTTCAACTCATACCATGAAAGGTTGAAAGGAAATCTTTAAGAAAGCACGCGGTAAAGGAAAGTCTAGAAACTACTTAAAAAGTGTATTTTACAAATACAAAACCGTACGGTAACTATAAAACAATACGCGTTACTATGCGCATTAATAATAATATTCATTTGGCTATTCATTATTAAGATAATCAAAACAAAACAGCTTGAGCAAAAATAACTCATAATTATTAGAAATGTTTACTTTAATTACATACGATCCTGAATAAAACGATATATAAGTAGATTTTTTTACATTTTAAAAACAGTATATATATATATATATATATATATATATATATATTATATATATATATATATATATATATATATATATATATATATATATATATATATATATATATATATATATATATATATATATATATATATATATATATATATATATATATATATATATATATATATATATATATATAAACAAATGACATATTTTTTGTATGTATTGTTTATATAGGGTCAGTTAGGCGCCGAACCTGCCTATATTTTAAAGTTAAAAAAAAAAATAGCTTATATAAAAAAAAAATTTATATGTTTCTTTGCAAACACCAATATACATTTTTAAGTGCAATGAACTGCCATTTCTTTTATTTTTTTTTTGTTTGTTTAGTCGCTTTTGTAAAGAGCTTTTTTTTGCGTCGTTATATTAAAAAAATATAAAAACGCAAAATTATTATTTAAAATAAAGGCGTTTTTATATTAAAAAAATAAATGTTGCAAGAAAAACTTTTAATTGTCAATAAAAAGTTTTAAATTTTTTTTGGCTACAGACTTGTTTTTTGTTTTGCCAACAAAGCAGCACCTTTTGAAGTAGCAGGACTGTCTTACTAAGTTTTTTCTTTTATAAGTTTTAGATAAAATTCTTTTGAATTGAAAAATGACTTACTTCAATCATCAAAAATTTTTGTAGTATTTTGAAAGGCCTTGTTTACAAGAATAATTTGCATGCAGAAAATCCGTTCTAGAATCAAGTATTGTCTTAATAAAATTGATTCTGAGCTTATGCGTGATCGCGCACGTGTTAAACCTTTTTATGGTTCTTGTTATATTTTAATTCACGAGGTCCTATGTTTATTATATAAGAATAGAGCCACGTCTGAGAAACGTGTGTCACGTGTAAATGTAATAAAATATATTATTTCTTAACACGAGATTTCCTTTAAAATACAAACTGATTGTAATGTATCCAAGCAGATACAACATGGAGCCCACGGATTAAAATTGAACTAACTGTCGATGATAAGGATTTCAGAAGATAAAGAAAGGATCTTAAACTAAAAGGATAAGTTATGTTAATTCTATTTATACTTTATTTTTTAATGTTAAAGAATTCTGGATTTAAGTTAATTAGTGAACGTTGATATACTTTAAGAATTATTACAATATGCATATTTAATTTTTATTAAAGGACGTAAACATTTTAAGAGTATTTGTTTACATAATATTTACACAACTCAAAAGCATTTAGACATTCCCATTATTTTGACGTAATTTGATTTGTCATTTCATTTTTGAGTATATTTGGCTGTGATTATTATTGTTGAAAAAAGCTCAAGTCAGTTCAAATGCGAATGTCAAGCTTCCCATATTAAAACTAGAACCATTTGATGGAAAACCGGAAAACTGGGTATCATTTATAGAAAATTTCAATTGTACTGTTAACTATAATGAGGATTTATCTAACATTCAAAAAATGACCTACCAACGTAAATTACTTCAAGGACCAGCTCTAGCATCTATTACTGGACTTGCCTTGACAAATGAAAATTATCAAACTGCATTAGATATTTTTAAACGTAGATATGACAATAAACAAGCTCTCATTTTATCCCACATGCGTAAACTTTTATCATGTGAAGGGATCAATAGTATAAGTAGAATTGAAAAATTAAGAAAATTTTTTGACAGTTTAGAAATACAAGTTAGAAGTCTTGAAAATTTAGGTATCAGTAGTAATATGTATGGACCCCTACTCATTCCAAAAATCTTAGAAAAAATTCCAGAAGAACTAACTTTAATAATAAACCGTCAATTTAATAACAATGATAACTGGGATGTTAAATCTATTATTGATCTTTTAACAAATGAATTATCTGCACGAGAAGGTTTGTTCTCGTCATTCACGATCATATTCACGATCATAATTTTTTCATGGCATTTAGAACCTGCTCGTCGTTGGAGACAAGCTATGAATTATTGTTGTAAGGAAGAGACTCGTATATCACCATGTGTCTATACAAATATTAGATCAGAGATTGAGCGCGTTGCTGTACCTAAGTTAGTTGAAATAAAGCGTTTGATTGATTCTGGCAGTTCTGTATTGGATATTATGGATAATGAGAAATATTTTTCTACTTAGGTTTTGCATCGTCGATCGTTAGATTTATATGTTTCTAACAAGCAACAAAAGCGTAATTTTGAAACAATGGTTGTGTATCTTTACGGTGATAGTGGTGTTGGTAAATCAAGACTTGCCCTTGATATAGCGAAGCACCTATATCCTGATACTGAACCTTTTTACAAGACCAAAGGCATTTGGTGGGATAACTAACTTATTTAATAAATCAGAACAATTTTTTACTACTGAAACGCTTCACACTGGTACAAATAACAGAGAGCCAATTCAAGCTTATCCATCCAATTCATTCAACAGAGAATCACATTATAATTTAAGACGAAATAATACAGACAAAGGTTCCTATTTTGAAAGAAATACTCCAAGAGATCTTCATAAATTGAACAAATGCCTTTTTTGTGAACAGCCTAACAAATCACAAAACTGCCGATCAATAACGAACATTCAATCCAGAAAGAAAATTATCAGTGATAAAAAACTTTGTTTCAAATCCTTAGGAAGTGGACATATAATTAAACAATGCTTATCTAGAATAAAATGTTTTAAATGCGGTCGACATCATCATTCTGCACTATGTATTGATACACAGAACTTTAACTTGCAAAATCAAGCTGTTGGACTATTGACTTCAATTGCAGAGGCTACTTCTGAAGGGTATTAGTCAATTTTACTGCAGACTGCATCTGCTCAAGTTTTTGACAACAATGCCAAGTTACAAAGTAGTAGGATCCTCTTTGATAATTGCTCACAGTTAAGTTATATATCTCCCAATTTACATAAGAAATTAAAACTTCGAACACTGGGTAAAAAAAAAAATAATATAAAAACATTTGGTAACAATAACACAACAGAAGTTTTGGATAAAGTTGAACTACCAGTTAAATGTATATTTGGTCGCACAATACAAATAATTTGCTATGTAAAAGAAATATGTTCCCCTCTCAATGGTCAATATATTAGAGAAGCGAAGCAGAAGTATAGACACTTAAACAGACTTAGGTTAGCAGACTATAATTTGAATGGTGATGGTATGAAGGTAGATGTTCTGATTGGGGCTGATTTTATTGGTCATTTGTTGAAGACAAGATCATTAGAGGATATAAAGATAGTCATCCAATTGCATTGAAATCTAAGCTGGGTTTTTTACTCAGTGGTCCTATTTACATTGATAAACTGAACAACAATGAATCAGGTTGTAATGTCAACACAACTCATGTCATGTTAGTTGATTCAACGATTTCAAAATCATTGGTAAAAGATTCCATTGCATTAATCTGGGGCATAGGAGAATTTGACAATTCCCAATTTGATATCATTGACAATTTTCGACACACTATTAACAACAATGAGGTCCAAAAGCAATACAGTGTCTGACTATCATTTAAAGACAAATCACTTTCCTGTTTGTGATAATTACAGTTTATGCATTAACCGATTGAAATACTTGCAGAAAAGACTAAGCAAAGATAAAAAACTCCTACAATCATATAACGACATTATGAAAGATCAACTTTTACAAGGAATTATTAAACCAATACTTGATGAGGCAAAAGATCATGGACAGGTACATTATTTACCACATCGACCTGTTTTGAAAAGTGGTAAAATTACTAGTAAAGTGAGAATTGGGTTTGAAGCTAGTAGCGCAGCAGAGGGCCCATCATTAAATGAATGTCTTTCTGCAGGACCTTCATTGACAACTTCTCTCTATGGTGTTTTTTTACGTTTTCGTTCTCAAAAGATAACTTACATAGCGGATATAGAGAAAGCTTTTTTACAGATAGCATTAACACCCTTGGATCGTGATTATGTACGATTCTTATGGTTTATCACCCTTGGATCGTGATTATGTACGATTCTTATGGTTTAAAGATCTTAATGGCATTAATTCAAGTAACATTTATACAAAATAAATAATTTTGTACAGATATTGTAGAGTATTATTTGGTGTTACATCATCCCCGTTCCTTCTGTCTGCAACACTAAAAAAACATGCTGAGCGATACATAAACAGCGATCCAAATTTTGTTTATAAACTCATGAACTCATTACATGTAGATGACCTAAACGCAGGAGCTGATTCCATATATGCAGCATTCCAATTTTATCAAAAGTGTAAATATCACCTACAAGAAGCAGATTTCAATTTTGGGAAATTTGAATCAAACTGTAAAGACTTGGAAAATTTAGTAAATGAACAAAACTTTAAAACTCACAACACTACTAAAGTATTAGGTTTGAATTGGAACAAGGAAAAAGACATTTTAACATTTGATCTAGCAAAAGTGTTAACTGAAATGAAAGCTAACCCAACAAAAAGAGATATACTTCGATTCATAGCTAGCATCTTCGATCCACTTGGTATCATAAATCCAGTAGTAGTACGTTTAAAGATCTTCTTTCAAGAAGTATGCTCAAGTAAGGTAGTATAGGATACTAATCTAGAAAGTAATTTGTTGGTAGTGTGGAGAAACATTTTTAATGATTTCCATTCCGCTCAAAGCATCATTTTTCCAAGGTGGTATATTAGTCATTGTGATAGTTCAATCCTAGACATCTCATTACAGGGGTTTAGTGACGCCAGTCTAGGTGCTTACGGTTGCTGTATCTATTTACTATACTCTCTAAATAACAAGCAACACCATTGTTCCCTTGTTACTGCTAAATCCAGAATTACCCCAATAAGAAAAACTACTATTCCCCGCTTAGAGTTAAGAGCAGCCTTGTTATTAACTGAAACTATGTCTATTGTCGTTAAGGAACTTTCCCCAATTTTTACATTTAAAGACATTATATGTTGGACTGACTCCACTATCGCTTTACATTGGATAATTAACACTAAAAAAGTTTATCATACCTTTATACAAAAACGTGTACGTAAAATTCGAAAAGATTTTGATATTACCCATTGGAAATATGTAGACTCTCGTAATAACCCAGCAGATATAGATTCAAGAGGTACAGACATAGTAGGTTAACAAAATTGTAAACATTGGTTTAATGGACCTTTGTTCCTATGTAACAACCTCAATGATTAGACAAAATTTGATCTAGTAAATCAACCTATGAATATTGTAGAAGAAATATTAACTAATATTGTTGCAAGTGACACTTCTATTAATTTAAAAATGGTTGATATTAAAAAGCTTAATAGCTATACCCTTTTATTACATGTTACAGCTTTAGTATTACGGTTCATTAGAAACCTCAAGAAGAAGAAAGCTAAAAAAAGTTTAAAACTATCTCCTCTAGATTCCTCAGAGATTGATTATGCTTTAAAAATTTGGATACAATATGCCCAACAAACTATCACCAGTACAAAGAACTATAAACAAATCCAACGTGATCTAAACCTACGTGAGATTGATGGTAACATACGTTGCTATGGGCGTCTAGAAAATGCCCCAATCCCATCAGATATGAAGTACCCCATCTTCTTGCCACGCGATTTAGAGTTTACTGATTTAGTTATTTACTACCATCACTCGATAGTCATGCATAACGGTATAAAAGAAACATTAAACCAGTTACGCAGTAGGTTTTGGGTACCGAAAGCGAGAAAAACATCAAGAAACTTATTCGGAAATGTCACTTATGCAAACGTTTTGAAGGGCTGCCTTACTCTTACCCCAAAGCACCCCCTTTACCATTACGCAGACTAAATGATGACCATGCTTTTAATTTTACAGGTGTGGACTATGCAGGCCCTTTATACATTAAAAATATATATAAGAGAAATAATTTATTCAAAACTTGGATTTTTTTATTTACCTGTTGTACTACACGCTCTTTATTTTTAGATTTAGTTCCTGATTCATCTGCTGAATCTTGTGTTCGTAGTTTACGACGGTTTATAGCAAAACGAGGAGCACCTGTAGAAATTACTTTCGATAATGGCTCACATTTTATCTCTAAAGTCACTCAAGACTTTATATCATCTCGTGGAATATCATGGCATTTCAACCCTCCCGCTGCACCGTGGTGGGGAGGATTCTTCGAAAGACTTAATGCTTCAACAAAACGCTGTCTCCGCAAAGTAATAGCAAATGCACGCCCTACCTATGAAGAGCTTTTAACTATATTAGCCGAAGTTGAAGTTGTCGTCAACAATCGTCCGATCACATTAACATACAATAAACCTGGAGACACCCCATTGACGCCAAATCATTTATTATATGGGAGGACATTAAACTTTTTAGCAATTGAAGATGACAATATATAATATAACTTAAATGCACGCAGCGCATACATTAGTAACGGTCTAAATCACTATTGGAAGCGATGGAGAGATGAATATGTTACTGAGCTAAGAGAATATCAAAAACATATTAAAGGAAAGGAAACAAATCAAATTGCAATAAACGACGTGGTATTAATACACGATCCTAATATTAAACAAGGGTTATGGAAAACGGGAATTTTTCAAAGACTAATCAAATCACATGATAATCAAATACGAATAGCAAAAGTTAAGTATATTATTAATGGAAAAGAAATTATCATTCAAAGACCTATTAATAAGCTGTACTTTTTAGAAGGTTCGCATCGAAAGTCGAACGAAAAAATAATTAACGTGAAGTTCTGCGGTGAAAATGACATTAAACTCTTTGTAAATAATAAGATAAGTGGGGAATGTTGCGCGTGATCGCGCACGTGTTAAACCTTTTTACGGTTCTTGTTACATTTTAATTCACGAGGTCTTATGTTTATTATATAAAAAAAGAGAGCCGCGTCTGAGAAACGTGTGTCACTTGTAAATGTATTAAAATATATTATTTTTTAACACAAGATTTCCTTTAAAATACAAACTAATTGTAATATATCCAAGCAGATACAACAGAGATTAGCTCAGTCTAAACCAGGCCTATTTGATAAAGTTAGTAGAAATAGTTTAATTGTGAACAACTGATTATATATTTAAAAACTAAAATACAAATACTTTCTAGAAAAATTTTCCTTTTTGTTTTATCTTATTTTTTTAAAAAGATATGTGTCTTTAAATCCAGTCTTGTTTTTTAGTTGTCACCTGTTAATGTACTATTTTTATTTTTATTTTTTTGAATTGTTGTTATTATTTTCTGCAACAAAATTTTTGAAATCTTATTTAAAAAGTACCATACGAGCATTTGTAGTCGTAAGGTATTCCATTTATTTTTTTTAACTTTTCCGCTTTTAATTTTAAGTTGATTAGTCCCTTCCAAACAAAAAACCCAGTTTTTCGATAATTAAAGTTTTAAAGAACAAATTTCATAAATTAAAACAGATTTCATAAATTAAAGTTTTAAGGGTTAGATATTGATTGATATTGATATTAGTAAATTTTCTTTTTAATTGCCCAGAAGAGTGCCTAATTAATCTCCCAATAAACTGAACGGCAACCGTTTTGGTTTCGATTTTATATAACGTAATGGTAGCAGATATATATCCAACATTTGTATTTCGCAATTGCCAAGTTCAACCATTATTTTTACATTAAAAATTATAAAAATATGTTTTAAAACACATTGCAACTTATTTTTTCGCTTTCCTATTAAAAAAATAGTTAAATAAGTGAAAATCATTTTTTTTAAGCTTTATTTTTTTTTTGCATTATCTTATCTATTTTTGATGTTAAATGTAACAACTACTCTAACGATATAAAATATAAACAGTTCAGAAGTTATTTAACCTAGTAGTATGTTTTTATTTTTTCTATTTCTATTTCTTTTTATTTCCTATTTCGTAAGTTTTTTTGTTTTTTGTTTTTTATACTTCTTTTGCAATAAACAATATTGTATAACTTGCAAACTGCCATGACAAAGTTGTCTAAGATAAAATACTTGGTGTGGTCATACAAAACGAAAGACCAAACACGTTTCCTGCAAAGGGTTAATTAGTGATTGATATCGATGTTAGCCGATTTTTTCTTTATTCGCTCAGAAAAATGCCTAATTACACTCCCAACAAGTTGCACGACAACCATTTTGGTTAGGCTTTTATTTGACTTAAATGCAGCATTTAATGAAAGAAACAACACAATAAGATCATAAATAATATAAACAATTATAAAAAAATAATAAATGTCATACTGTGAAACATAAATGTTAAAATACAAACTTTTTATTCAATTATAAAAAACTATAGAATTTGCTTTAATTAGCAAAGCTTTTTTAATTGTATCAGTTAGATTTTTACTGAACTGTTTCACCTAAAAAGAAACAATGCAATAAACATCGAAAGTGTTTTTGACAATTTTATTAAAATGTTGTCATAATATATATATATATATCTCAATAGGATCAACCATAAATTAAGCAAGCTAAATTTATTTTAGAAAAAAGAAAAAGTAAATAGTAAGTGCTTTTACTTTTTTTTTAAAGTAAATGGTCTGTTTTGGTTTTTTATTACTTGAGGCTCAGCGAGGGAAGACTTGAAAGTTTTTTTGTTTTGTTTATTGGTAACACTTAGCGTGCTTAATTTATAGACAATCCCTAAACTATTAAAACTAATTTCATACAAAAGTGATGTTTTGGATAGCTCCAAGTGTAACTTTTTTGTTTTAAACATTATTTTTATCTAAAATTTTACGTTGTCCGATTTTTTTTCCTGGATATATAGAGAACTATGCAGTTCTATCTACCAACACGTTTTTTTATTTAGCAGGTTCGAACGTAATGTTTCTCATAAATTCTTAAATGTTAAATATATGAATAAATCTATACAATGCATAAGACTTTCTATATATGGTTGGAAAGAGGCTAAGTTAAAAGAAATAGTTCAAAATATCTTAAGTTTTATGCTTAACCTTAAACAAAATTACATAAGCAATTTAAGTTCATATTGTCGAACGTCAAAAACTATAAAGTAACGCAATCTATAATCGTAATATTGGTAGAGTTAAAAAAACTAACGTAAATATATATATAAACATACACACATACATCTATACATATATAGATGTATGTGTGTATGTACACATACATACATACATACGTACATACATACATACATACATACATACATACATACATACATACATACATACATACATACATACATACATACATACATACATACATACATACATACATACATACATACATACATACATACATACATACATACATACATACATACATACATACATACATACATACATACATACATACATACATACATACATACATACATACATACATACATACATACATACATACATACATACATACATACATACATACATACATACATACATACATACATACATACATACATACATACATACATACATACATACATACATACATACATACATACATACATACATACATACATACATACATACATACATACATACATACATACATACATACATACATACATACATACATACATACATACATACATACATACATACATACATACATACATACATACATACATACATACATACATACATACATACATACATACATACATACATACATACATACATACATACATACATACATACATACATACATACATACATACATACATACATACATACATACATACATACATACATACATACATACATACATACATACATACATACATACATACATACATACATACATACATACATACATACATACATACATACATACATACATACATACATACATACATACATACATACATACATACATACATACATACATACATACATACATACATACATACATACATACATACATACATACATACATACATACATACATACATACATACATACATACATACATACATACATACATACATACATACATACATACATACATACATACATACATACATACATACATACATACATACATACATACATACATACACATACATACATACATACATACATACATACATACATACATACATACATACATACATACATACATACATACATACATACATACATACATACATACATACATACATACATACATACATACATACATACATACATACATACATACATACATACATACATACATACATACATACATACATACATACATACATACATACATACATACATACATACATACATACATACATACATACATACATACATACATACATACATACATACATACATACATACATACATACATACATACATACATACATACATACATACATACATACATACATACATACATACATACATACATACATACATACATACATACATACATACATACATACATACATACATACATACATACATACATACATACATACATACATACATACATACATACATAAATACATACATACATACATACTTACATACGTACATAAATACATAAATACATACATACATACATTCATACATACATACATACATACATACATACATACATACATACATACATACATACATACATACATACATACATACATACATACATACATACATACATACATACATACATACATACATACATACATACATACATACATACATACATAAATACATACATACATACATACTTACATACGTACATAAATACATAAATACATACATACATACATTCATACATACATACATACATACATACATACATACATACATACATACATACATACATACATACATACATACATACATACATACATACATACATACATACATACATACATACATACATACATACATACATACATACATACATAAATACATACATACACACATACTTACATACGTACATAAATACATAAATACATACATACATACATACATACATACATACATACATACATACATACATACATACATACATACATACATACATACATACATACATACATACATACATACATACATACATACATACATACATACATACATACATACATACATACATACATACATACATACATACATACATACATACATGCATACATACATACATACATACATACATACATACATACATACATACATACATACATACATACATACATACATACATACATACATACATACATACATACATACATACTTATATACGTACATAAATACATACATACATACATACTTACATACATACATACTTACATAAATACATACTTACATACATACAGGCTAATTAACTTGATTCGGAGGTGTATCAGGATTCAGAGGGTGTAATCTAGAGTTTCTTTTTAAACTCGATTTAGTTTGTAATTTTTCTTTTTTTTTCTAATATAATGGTAATTTTTTGATTCTTTAGTTATATTATTAATTAACTAATGTTTGTTTCATCTTACTTTATTCTGAATAAATTTTTTCAATTCAACAATTAATTTCATACTTGAATATAAAAAAAACACTCTTGAACTCGAAAACCACCAAAAACAATTAAATTTTATAAATAATAATGTTGCTAATACAATGAATGGAGCCTATAAATTTCAAATATTGAAACCTATAAATTTCAAATATTGAAAAGAACCAATATGTATTATTTAACTTAAATCAAATAAAACAATCAATATTAGTATTATCATTGGCGTACCCTTTTAAGTTTCTTATAAAGTCTAATATCTAATGATGTTTTTATCATTGCTTTCATTTTATTAATTTTTGATAGCGTTTTGAAATATTTTTATTTTTTTTTGTTACAAAAGAATTAAGTAAAGCGTTGACGTAGGAGTTTGTCTTTAACACTTGATACATTTGTTAATTTTTACTTTTGAATTGAATTATATTTGTTCAGTAAATAACTTAATTTTTAATTTTGTTTCTGATACTGATATTTAATTCTACTTTAATTTTCGTTTTTCGCATAATTCCTAATTTTAGTTTTTATTTACATTAACGAAATTAATTCCTATATACAAAGATACAGGTACACATACAGATTTACATACAAACAAGCGTTCACTTACACATTGGTACGTTCATACAAGCATAATCAATACAATATTTACTACGTGACTTTTTTTTTCTTAGATTATAGTTAGATTTTTTAGATTATGTAGATTATAAACGACAAGTTTTATCATAAGACAAAAAACTGGGTAGTTTTGAAACTATTCAAAAACAAATTTAGATTTTTCAACTATGCTGTTATAAAGTTATGTTTGTTTTTTGAATTTTATATAAGTTAGCTACATTTATTATGGTTTTATAAATCCATTACTATATAAAACAGATTGAAGCTGTGTCACTAATTGTTTCGAATCAAATTTACCGCCACCCTTTTAATATTCATTTAGAAACACTATTATATTATAAAAAATGCTTTTTTTAACAGTTTTAGAAAAAATCTTTTTTTTTTTTTTTATAGATTTTATTAGCCATTCAAACCAGGTTCTCTTGAAGCAAGGCACTATTCTTGGAAAACTCGATGTTTTGAAGAAGGAGTACTCTGTCTCTTTTAATATTTTTCCTAAATCGTATACAAAAGGCCGGAAAAGTGTTCTTCATTTAACTCAGGATAAAGATTTTGGAGATTATGGTGATAGAATTCCAGGCGTCTGGTTTGATGAAAATGGCTCAGGACGTCTTTTTATTCATGCTGCGGTTAATGGCAATATAAATTACTATATTGAAACAAAACCTCTTCCATTAAATCAATGGACTAATGTTAAAATAGGTCAAAGTATGCGTGATAATACTTATTTGCTTTTTGTTTATTTGAATGGAGTCAAATTTTATGTTGCTGAAAACACTGATGCTAGAGATTTCAAAAATGTAAAGGTATACGCTTCTGATCCTTGGTATGATGCTCAAAATGGTCTTATTTCTAATATACTCATTGTTAATGGAAACGTTGGTAAGAACGACATAAAATCTATTTTTTATTATAGCATTTTAATTGTTTTTTTAATAACTCCCATAAATAAAATAAAAAAATGTTTAGAAATTTCCAAAACTAATGATATTACAGAATTTACAAGAATCTTATAGGATGAGTTGCACAAGTTGCTGCAAGACTATCTATTGAAAGATCTTGTAGGATTCCTTCGAGTTTTTTGTATGAGAAATTAAAATCTACAAGAATGTTTAAAAGAATATCCAGGACTAACACAGATTTTTTATATTATGATTGAGGCAAATTGGAGATTTTTATATGTACCATTCATTTTAGTATTATTATAAATAATGTTATAAATTAAACAACCCAAGTAACAACATACGGATTTATGTATTTATTTCAAATAAAAGGAAAATATGTTTATTTATTTTTTTTAATACTGATTATAGGTAAGTCTAAAATTAAATTGAAGTTTTTTAATCAAAATACTAAATCAATCTGTATAAACAAAAATATTTTTATAACAAAAACTAAATAAATAACTAGGCAGATACTTTTAATTTTAGACTTTTGAAAAACAAAAACTATACATATACCTTCATTACCAGAAATATAGCAGACACAGAACACAACACAAAATTGTATAAAATAAAAAATGAATAATCAGATAATAATTAATATGCATTTTAACAATATACTTTAAAGAAAATATTACAGCACTATTGTTTACAGACCAATTGCATTATAACTGTATATAAGTTATGAGTCACAAAATCACAAGTGCATGGCTAATGACATTCAATTTTTCTTCATATCTAGACCACTCCAAATCAGGTTTTCTCAAAATTTGCCAAAACGGTTGCTAGTTGCTCCTTGAGGTCTCGCATTGGTGTTTCAGAAACTGTGGTTCTATAAAATAATAAGATATAAAGATAAATATCAGAATGTAAATTTTCTCTCTGCTGTGTAAATTGTGTAAATAACTAGTTCATAAAGGCACTAAATCAGCATAGCAGAGGTTAATCATAAATGATGAGAAATCATCTTATCATTAGTTAGACATTTACCTCAATTCAAAAGATGCCATAAATAGAAATTAACATCAATGAATATACAATAAAAGGTAGCTCGTAGTTACCTTTCATAGGGTAAGCAAAGCTTATGATTACGTTTAGTATAGGTTTTAGTCTTAATTCTAACTAAGTTATTGTTTTTAACTTGGGGTTGTCCATTTACTACGACAGGCAGTTTTTAACTTTTTTTTAACCGCTTTATCAAAAAGCCAAGTCCCTCTTAACGCATCCGTAACACTTTATTTCCTTTCCTCCTCCTATTACGTATTAACTTTCCCAGTGGGCACGGAAGTAAAAAAGACGTCTTTTAAACGTTTAAAATACGTCCAAAACGTTCAAAAGACGTTCAGAAAACGTCTAAAACGTGTATAAGACGTTTAAAAGACGTCCTTTTTTACTTCCGTGCCCACTGGGTTGTACCGTCGCCGCAAAAAAAAATTTTATAAGTTTTTTGAGGGAGATGCAAAATTTAAAAACATACAAAACAAATTTAAATATAATAATTTCTATAACTCTATGTGCTTTTTCGAGTTAATTATATAGTACTTTTTGTGAAAAAATGTATAAATTAACTTCGCTATCCTAAACATGATACATATTTTAAAAGTCTATTCTTCCGATGTATAATAAATGCAAAATAATATATATGTAACATATAATAAATAACTATATATTATACATGAAAAAATAATAATTTATGAACACAGTTTAATTTTAACCAGAAAAGTAGACGTGGTTTAGTGGTTTACTGCCAATGGCTAGTAAACCGAAGCTTTAAGATTTACTTTTCGATATCAATATTGGAGTTGTTTCTACTTAGATATGCTTTTCGATATCAAAATTTGAGTTGTTTCTACAGCAAAAAGATTGTTTTTTTTTGTTGCTGCAAATTTTTTTGCTCAACCTAAATAAATTTTAGGACTTGAGCCATTCAAATTTAAAGCGCAGAAGCGTATACAGCCGTAACAGCCTGTTAATAGGTTGTAACTACTCCATTTACGGAAAATATACATCGATTAAATAAGATTTAGGTGTATTTGATTTCTCAAAAAAATGTATATTCTTCAACTAAAAGTTTTGGTTTGGTCAGATACTCTTTTAACTTAAAGAAGGTCTTCTCTAGAAAAAAAAAGAGATTGCATTACAAAATTAAGAGTACCTCAATCCCCTTTTGTTTTAAATTGTCAGAAATTATCTAAACCACACCTTCCTTTTATCGTAACAAAGTTTATGGACGCCCAATTTTGGTCATTCAAATTATACTAATGCATTCTTTTTAGTGATGTGGCTATTATAGCTTTTATGTTAGGTATAACTATTAAGTTAGGCGTAATCAATGAAACTACGTGTAATTAACATTTTGATTGAATTAATTACATTTAAAAGATATCTAATACAAAAACTACAGTCAACATTTTAAAACTAAAAGTTAAATTTCTTTAAACTTCACTCGCCTAAAATGTCGAGCTAGCCACCACACTAGTGTGTAGCTATCATTTCTATACACTAATGTGTATAGAAAAGTTAATTTGCACACTTTTGTGCAAAGTAACTTTTTTTAATATCATTATATTGGGTTATGATGCTCTTTTTAAGAGCATTATAATCCAATAAAGCTTCGCAGATCATACGTAAATGATTTTAAGAAGAGCGAATGATTATAGAGTAAAAGTCAGTAATTGAGTTAAAAAAATTAATTTGCGCAAAAGTGTGCAAAATCACTTTCGTATATGAGTGATATGGAGGAAAACTCAACACTTTCCGCGAGTGTGCATATTGCAAACTAAATTTATTCCCAATACATGTTATATTGAAACTGTATTTTTTTAATTTATTACCATTGCAGTTAGGTGTTGCATTGTAGCTTACATTTGAATTCTTAGAGTGTTAAAGTTGGTTTTCCTTAACCCATTACATTGCTCTAAAATTTGAAACTCAAGTTCTTGCTTTTCTTTTCATTTAATATGATTTATACTTTGCAAAATGCTTTAAACTTGCCTTTTTGTAATTAACTCAATAAATGATGCATAAAAAGTGCTTATTTCAAGATTCTACTCTTTTGGATCTGAATCGTGTTCCCTTAAGTTAAACTAATTGGTTTCAAACTTTTAAAATAAGTTCAACATACTTGTAATAAATTATACTGGCAATTAAACGCAATTTAAACAGTGTGAATCAAATATTTTGCCTATCAATCAGTGCCAAAGGCACGGTGATTGAAGTGGAAAAAAATAGAATGTTTGGTGAAACTTTTATGAAATAAAAACAAAATTAAAAAAGTTTAAATTTGATCATCATTTTTAAAAACAGTTTATCATTTTTTACAATTAATTATTATTAAACAATTTATTATTACTAGCAGTAAGCAAACCGTAATACGGGTTAGTAGTAAATAAATCATTACTAACAATTTGATATTTAATTACTTTCTCTAATAAAATATAAATTTATTTATACAGTAAGCAACCCGTAATACGGGTTAGTAGTAAATAAATCGTTACTAACAATTTGATCTTTATTTACTTTTTTTAATGAAATATAAGTTTATTTATACATTTTTTTAGTCGTGCTTACTTTTATTTTTCTTGGCTTCTTAGTTTAAGAGAACTCTTAGCTTCATTAAAGATAAAGTTAACCATTTTTTTTGCAATGTTCAGAAATGCGCAAATCACAACCATGTAGTAGTTAAAAATGACTTGAATTATATACACAGAACATTGATGTCAAATTTTCAAATTCCGTAATTTCTTTTTTTTTTTTTTAACTTTTTATTTAATGAGTAAAGAGCTTAAATTTATGTCAATAAATTTTAAATGTTAAATATTTAAATTTTAAATGTTAAAATTTATTGCACCTAAACTTTTCAATATTTTTAATATACTTTTTAAACATTTTTAAAACATCTAAAATATTACACCCAACTTGTAGGCATAGAAGTTGGATATCCGTAAAAACTATAAGTCGAAAAATATATCGCAATTCCGGAAAGAGCTTAGCCCAGCATACGGATCCTATATTATTATATGATAAAGATTATTACTAAACCAACCTTTATTTACTTAATAATCCAGCAGAAACTTGTTTATAAAAAAAAAATAAAGGAATATATCGATTTACTTTATAGCTGACGTATATAAACATATTTTTTTCAGCATACATCCAATCCATATTTATACTAATTCTATAAAATGTCTGGAATACAATTTGCCTTAACTTGGCGTTAAATTATTAGTTTTATTTCATTAGTTTTTGTATAAATCAGGTTAATAATAAAAGCTATTGCATTTTTCTCAATATTTTTGAAGTAATTATTCAGCTTTATTAAAAATTGATAAAACCATATAAGACAGTTAAAAAATATATTTAAACATTTGTTCTCTTTTTGAAAATCCGTAAAAAAGCAAGTATCAAGTTTACTTTAAAAAAAAATTATTTACATGATATATAGTCAAACATGTAACAAAATTATTTTAAACAGAAGGATATATAAAACACATTTTTCTTAAAAAAAAAAAATTGAAGCCACCATTTACAGCACCGAGGAGCCAAGCATAGCCTATTGTAAAGAAAACCATATCAAATAATTTAAAATATTTATTACCGATAGGGACCACAATTAAACATATTTAAAAACTACGTGATTCCATATTTGCAGGATTGTTATAGAAAAGTATATTAAAAAAGTATATTTAAAAAGAATAATTAAAAAAAAGTATATTAAATAGAAAACAGATTTTTAAAATCTTATTTTGTAAGAATTATGCCAATGGTGTTTAATTTTGAAACCAATATCTTTAATGGAAAGCCGACTTGTTTAATTATTCTCATTCAAAGAACAAATTTATTAAAACTTAAAGATAAAGAAAAAAAATGAATGAGATATAAACAATCGTACTATAGTATTATATAGATAAGTAGATATATATGAAAAAAAACAATAACTAG